GGATGGACATGTGCAAAAACTAGATGGTAATGCAGATATATAAAATGTTTGAGTAAATGGGATGGTTCATGACAGCAAATCAGTTCAGATATGGATTAATACTGAGAACTCGTTCCAGTTAGCCTTTGAAACAAGCATAAGTAGCACTTTCACTGATGGAAAGAAAGTAAGGGAGCTGTGTTTCATCAGAGTGAGAAAATCAACATAAGAAAACATCACAATTTATATAACATGCACAGGAAACAAGATAACCTTCCTATACATTTTACTTAAAAGTTTAGGTTGATGAGAAAATGGACTTTTTATACAAGTATCTCAAAACCCATCTTATTCCAATGAAATTTGGAGTTCTTCAAAGAGTAGAGGACATTCGTTTAGTTTTAGAGGAGGTTAAGTTTATTTGGGGCCTCAGAGTTTCAGAGATCTCATTCTACAGATGGCTCACTCCTATTCTTTGGAGCCAAAGGTGAGGCTGAACATCATGGTGGAAGAATGTGTTGGAGGAAATCAGGTCAGCACCTGGCACCAGGAAACAGCAAGACAGAGTGGGCAGGGAAGAGTTCTCATCACTAGGGACAAAATATAAACCCCAAGATACACCCCCATCTTCTTACCTCCTCCAGCCAACTCTACCTGCCTGAAGTTACCACCCAGTTAATCTATTCAAGGGGATTAATATACTGATTAAGTTAAGGCTCTCAAAAAACAATCATTTCACCTGTCAACTTTTTACACATGAGCTTTGGGGGACAACTCACATTTAAACCATAACAACATTCTTCAAAATCAAAGAAGAAAATTTCATATTAACTTGCATTCATGCTCAATCTGAAATTTTTCAAGCAGACAGAAGTGTCATATGTTATTGATCATAGCCCTAAAGACAATGATAATGATGTTGATGATGGTACTGATAAGGTACATGATGATGAAGATGATTATGATGATGTTGATTTTAAACATTTATTGGATGGTATTCTTTAAAGACTCTTAATTAAATCACTAACATGCGTTGTTCTATTTACTCAAATCTTCTTAATGTCTTCCTAAAATTCAGGCTGTTATTTTGACCACTTAGTAAGGGGAGAAAAGTAAATAAAATAAATAAAATATTAAAATTTCAACCTCCAGAGCTCAGTTCTTAATTACTATTCTGTCTACCGATGTTACCATTCATATTCTATGCTGCCCATATAAGACAGTATTTCTTCTTTTTTTTAACTCTATTTCTGCTATTCCAACTTCAATTATATGAGATATTTTTAAATATTATCTCACAGGTCCTGAAAATCTATTTATTTATTTTATGACTTTTCTTTTTCTTAAGATTTAAGAACTTTGAAATCTAAATTCAGGATCACTAAAAGGTTTGTTTTCATTTCTATTCTTAATATTATTAAGCCCAATCAAGGGATTTTTAATTTCACATTTTTTTCAGTTTAAAAAAAATCCAGTTTTCTTTGTAATTTTCTTTATTTATCCTGAGGTTTTCTAAACTTAATTCATTACACATTTATTTTTCCAATTTCATTGAGATTTTTTTTTTCATGGTTACTTCCTTATCTAATAATTTTAACATCATCTGTGGTTTCTCTCTGTTGAATGTCTTCAGACCATAAAGACAGCAGTTTTCTGTGAGAGTGTTGTCGCCCTGGTCAAAATGATCCATGAATATTATTTGCCTAAACTAAAAAGTGTGAGAAAAGAAACAGCCATACTGAATTTCCTGTCATTTCCATTATCCTTAAAATTAACCTGCTTGTGCTAATTCTTCAGAGCTATTGGACAGTTCTTTTTGTATGTTAGTTAAGAGTTTATAGTTCTCATCTGTGGTCTGTTAAGAGTTGAACCACCCTTCTGCAAGGACTACCATATTTCGATTATATCTTAATGATATAAATTCCAGAGAAGTTAGTATATTTCTTCAGGAACATAAATAAATAAAATTAAATAAGCTTGCTCAGAAAACATTATTTCAAATCTATTAACTATCCTGATCATCTGGGTTCTAAAACTCAGCAGATGTAAAATTAATTTTCTTGGCCTTTAATGATTATGATTTTATGTAGTGAAATGTATTTCCTAGAGCAGTGGATAATAGCAGTTTTACAAAGTGGCAGTGGTTAAGAGAGAAAAATCATACATGAAAGTAATTTATTGACATTTAAAGCATACCCATTAAAATATATCAAAACATTTCCACTTCATAAGTGAATATGTGATGAGGTTAGAATTCAGTGATAGTTATTGAAATATAATGAATGGGGAAAAAACCTTGTAAAGAATGTAATGTACACTTTTTCATGAAGATATGTTGATAACGAAAGGGATACACAAATAATTCTATGATTTGATTTTAGATAAAGCAAAATACATATAATAATCACAATAATATGAACTTTGGAGAGAAAATCAAGAATTTGAAGGAAAAAGAAATCTTAGATTTTTATTAATGATTTGACCTCTCAGTTAAGAACATTCAATAAATATGACTTTATAGGCAAATGTTTAAAGCTTTTGCCTATGGATCTTAAAAATCATTAGAGAGGCAGATGTTGTTGTGCATGCCTTCAATCCCAGCAACTCAGGAGGTTCAGAAAAGAGGATTAGCAAGTTCCAGGCCTGTCTTTGCAATGTAACTAGATCCTAAGCAACTTAGTGAAACCCTGTCTCAAAATTAAAAATAAAAAATAAAAAGGGCTATGGAGGTTGCTCAGTAGTAGAGTACTCCTGGGGTTTGAACCCTAGTACCAAAAAAATATATAAAAAATTAATAATGATAAAGTGATGAAAACAATACTTTTATATCTACCATAAGCTTTAAGGCAAAAGAAAGTTTTAGAATAAAGTAAGGGTACAAAAACAAAGGTTCATGGGTAAGATGTAAAGAGTGCTGATCGAGGAATTAGAACATTTTATGTAGGATAGACTTAACTTTGTGACTGATTACACATGTTTGCTCAAACAATTGCCTTCATGTCTCTCTGAGCTCCCTTTCCCTATCTGAAGAAATTAGCAATTTGGTCCACAGACATTTTAAAAAGAGGGAAAACAATAATATTGATGAAATAGTAGTACTACTCCTGAGTCTCTTGATGTACTTTAAAAAAAAGGGCCTGAACATTTTTTTTTGAAATTTTAATAGAATAACAAAATCTTTACAAAAAAAGAAAAACATTGTTTGTCCCATATATAAGAATATATCGATACCAAGAATCTATGTGATTTGTTCAAGATTACTAACTAATAAGAAAATGGGTCCCAGGAGTTCATGAATCCTGATCCTCCTCCCATGTAGCCTTGCCTGTTCACCTCCATTCAAGACACAGCCAGTTAGAACGAAATCACAGATGTTAAGAAAGAAAGCTGAAAGAAAAGCTCCAATATGCGAGCAGAGAAGATTTACCCAGTCCCTGAGGGATTAGAATCACCCCAATTTAATTTGATCCACAATCTCATGTATTTCTAATTCATTAAAATATTAAATAAGGCAGGATTTAACATTGGCACCTTTCCCAAATGCATATATTACCATTTGTCATTAGTATGTCTTTTCTTATTGCGTCAATTCTTGGTTGAAATGACTTTTTTTAAAAAAATCCTGAATAGATTTAAACTAATTTGCAAGCAAACTTTTATAAAATCCTATATTATCACAAGGTAAATTAAAAACTAAATATGTTTCATGTAGTTACTCTCTGATCAGTTCATTTTATAGCCCTTTATCTGACACAGTTTATGCTTCATATATTTATTCTCCCTTTTGCTCACACCACTGTTATTCTTTCGGCTTTCATTTACCCCTCCTCTGATTTTTTGACTCATTCAGTTAAGTTAAATTGGATAGTAAATTTTTAATTTGTCAGTTCTCAGGCTTAGAGTTCTTTAAAACTCATATTTAAAAAATAAATTTCTGAAAATTCTCTTCCCTTCTAAAAGATTCTGATTTGTAATAGATTTCACTAAATTCCAAAAGATTGGTAATCCTTCTCAAATTATCTGAGATATAAAGCTGTTTGTTACTCTATAGGTCCAGAAGCCTTATACACATACCTTTGCTTTTTTCTACTGTAAGCTAAGAAATTAACGTCTTGCTTATAGTCAGTTGTTCTACTTATTTGTAGGATTAAATAACTGTGAACAGAAGAATAAAAAATGGTTTCTTTTGGTGTTCAAATGTGGTAAGTGTCATGACAACTCTCTTCTTCCTAAGTTTGAAGCCACAGCTACTTTATGACAAACATAATCAGAATCTGGCTATTTTCCTATGGGTAAGATTTTGCAATACTCTACTGCCTACCCACTCCTGACTCACCTTACATTATTTCATTTCTTCAGTCCTATTGTCTAGATCCTCCTCTCTCTAGATCTTCACTTGGATGAATTACCTGGATCTGCTTTGTTCTTACCAAAACAATAAAACACAGGTGTTTAGGGCTTCACTCTTCTTCATTTTGTTCCACCAGGCCAAAAGCCTATTAGAAGCTGCTGCTCAGCTCAGGATGGGTCTTCACCCCTTGGTTTGCTGAGCCACAGGCCATTATCTATCTGGAAACAGCTTCAGACACACCAAGATATGTGTTTTCACCATTGTCTAGGAGCTTCTCAATTTAGTCAAGTTGACAACTAAGAGTAACCACCATACTATTTACCTATCTATAGTTATTACAAATTTATAATGCTCTTAATTATTGTTGTCCTTTTGTTTTGAGAGATTACACACTATAAAAAGCATTGCTATTATTTGAAGGCAAGTTTAAATATTAATTTTCAAGTCAAAGTATTTAAATGTAACAATCTAAAATTTTTCTTCTGTGAGTCCTCATGACCTTTCTTACTGGGAATGATTTCAGAGATGAATATTTTGTGAATCTTTCAGACATTTATTTCTAAACAATAAGGAATTTCCATATTTTTAATGCAATTTTCAGAAATGGAAAAATACACTAAGAAAGCCATCAGATTTTCACATTATTTAAAAGGGTGCAATGTTATGGGGCTGGGGTTGTGGCTCAGTGGTAGAGCACAGGCCTTGCATGTGTGAGGCCCTGGGTTCGATTCACAGCACCCCATATAAATAAAATAATAAAATAAAAGTCCATCAATATCTAAAAAAAATCTATATTTTAAAAAGTGTGCAATATTAAATTCAAATCATCCACTAACTACAAAATATTAGGATTTATATATTTTTCATATATACTTATATGTATGTTGAATAAATATCCAAATACATTTATAAGCATTTGTTTCCATATAAGGTAGAAATATTACCCAATAAGGAGACAATATAATTTAGTATTAATTTTTACCTTAAAAGTGTAACATAAATTATTTGGTTAAAAATAATTTTTACCTCTGTGGAAAGATTAGAAAATTAAGGTTTAACTTCAAACAAAATTCAAAATCAAGCAGTTGTGATATGTTTTCAATATGTGTGGTAGTTTATCCAAAATCATTAACAAATGAAGCTGTTTTCTCCCCTTACATCTTCCAAATAGCAAAAAGAAGTAAAGTTACTTTTTATTTATGAGTTATCATTTTTTTCTACTGTATATTTTGACAAATAACATGACAGAAAAATGATTAAGTTTCTCATTTCACAATGTGACTTCTGTGTTATTTATTGTCAAAATAAAAGTCACTTTGTGAATCAAAGTTTTTAATCTTTTTTCCCCTTTCAATCACAAAAAAAATGTTTTGTCTGGAAACTGATTTTTGTAAATATCTTTTTTCCCCCTAATGACAGGTAAGTCCTTTTAAATGAGTCATTGCTAATTAGTTCAGAGCAACATTCCAAAAGAATATTTTATTTTTGGAACCTCATTTTACTGATTTTCTGCTCCAGTAGCGTGACTAATGCACATTGCAGTTAGAGCTTTGCAAAATGTTTGCAGCAAAACTCCAAACCAGGTGATAATCACCTGATATTTACCTGGTTTCTTCACTTTGTTATCAACCAAATCATTGGGCTCAATTCCTGAAAAAGGTTCTTGGCTTTTACAAGCACCTCCAACAATACCGAGCATTCCTTTGTGTCAAGATCATTTCTGTTGCAAATTCCCGAATTCAATCTTGAAATAAAATGAGATTCTATGGTTTTGGCTGTTCTTTGCTTTTTATTTTTGGTTCAGTGATGCCTGAAAGTCAAAATGAAACTGAAGTAGAGGCCCTTGGGAAACCAAATGAGTAATTTAAATGAATACCAATGAATTCTACATGCTGAGTTGTAGCAGCACAGGCATTGCCAGAACCACAGAGTCTCTGGGACCTATGAAGAATGGCAACTGGCCTTGTAGGTCAAGATGGAGAATAGAACATTGATTTTCCCATAAAAATCATGTCAATATAATCTTTTCTTTCTGTGAATATTTCAAGCTTCTCATTTGTGGTCATAGGTATTGCATAACTTGGTTTCTAGACCTGATCTTGCTTCATAAGAAAACAATGCTTAAAATCACCAGAGAGATTATCTTGTGATGTCATCTACTCCATTTTTACTTTCATCCAGTAAGAAAACTGAAGATTTTTTTCTAATGTTCATGTTTTCTTTTTTCAATTTATTTATCACAAAAGAAAGTTTGTAATACAAATGTAAAAAATAAAATGGAGTGTATGTATTCAAAATACAATAAATCATAAAAAATTATCGATTTATTTTGGTGGGAAAAATAGAAAGTAGGATAGATCATGGAACTCACTGAAAAATGAATGAAAATTATGATTTATTTCCACAAAATACCCTTTGAATAAAAATATATACTATTTAAATTGGTTAATAAATTATAGCTTAACAATGCTTGAATATAGAGAAATATATTATTATAGAAATTGAGATAGCTTATCATCTCCATTTTGTCAAGTTTTGTGTTGAAATTCAATATTCACTTTATTAACACTAAAAAAATTTTCAAAATGAAATGTACTTTTAACTTCTATATAACATTCATCATTCAGTGCTTTAAAGCAATGAAAAAGAATCTATATTGTTTAGAGAAGAAAAGTTTATAATCCAAAAATTTTATACCTGACTGAATTATCTTGTGTTATGACTTTAAAAATACTTATTAAATTTTATTTTAAACTCTTAGGCCAACTTTTCCAATATTTCCTAGTAATGACATCCTATTATCTCAGTAATTGTTTTGCAATACTCTTAACAAAATGAATAACTAATTAGTCCACTTATTATGAAATTACGTCTGAATAATTAAATAAGTATGTTTATAAAGCACAATAGCTGTGTGATACATTAATGCACATAAAATAAAAGAAATAGTTCATTTAAAATAATCACTATTGCATATTAATGGGAAGGATATTTGCACTTGTTGAGCACAACAAACCTTGGTCAGATAACATTTATTAGTACTTTTAACTTCATGTAGCATATTATATAATACTTGTGTTTTGTCACAAAATCCATGTGAAAACCAAACATTAGAAAGATCAATAATCTATTAAATATTGAAATTGTGGACTACCTTGATGTGATAGCTCATGTAGTCCATTTCCCTAAATAATTGAAAATGTCTTGAAACATCCCTGGGAGCTAACTGTGGCACCTTGAACACTATAATACACAGTTTCATAACCAAGATTTTAGATAAATTAATGGAAAGTAAATATTAGGAACTAAAAAAACTATGGAAATTCACATGTTCTGTGAACAAGGGAATATACATTATATGATATGGAGCTCAAATTCCATGAGATTCAGTTTTGTTAGATATGTTATTCAGCATAAATGTAAAAAATTATTTGCAAATAAAATTAAAAATTGTAATCTTATAAATCCAAAGAGTATAATTTTTATAAGACAGACCTTTTTGAGAAATTCAGAGGTTCAATTTTGCAAATACGAATGCTCAAACATGTGCAGAAAAAATTTCCAGGAATAATCACACCAGTACACTAAAATATAATTTTACTCCAGCAGTTAATTCTGCTCTTTTCCTATATCCAACATTTGAATAATCATTTGGTTTTGCATTTGTTTTTGTCATGGAAGAAAATAAATTGATGTTATGATAGAAATGGGAAAATATTAAATATTAAAACATTTGACTTGTATTAGTAATAAACATTCTCTGGAAAACAATGAAGATAATAAAAAGATCTGGGAAAAGTAGCTGAAATATAAATCAATTTATAAACAAAAATGTTTCTAAATTCAAATGTTTGAGTTCAGAAATTGCAATAACATTAGTGTAATATCTGACACATTTTTTTGATATTATCTGCAGAAATTAACTTTAATTGTGTACCTTCCACAATTTTTCTAATAGTTTATGCAAATAAAAATTCACATGTATGAAAGAATGTTTCCTTAAGCAAAACAATCAGTACACATGAAATGTTGTTATATTTTCTATACAATAATTAAGAGTATCCTTTGCTAGTACAATAATTGGCCATTCCCCCACCCTCCACCTTGTGGTCAGCTACTGGTTTTTATTCTGCAGAGACAAACACTGAGTCAAACTCTAAGGAGATAGTTATCTAGTCTCTAAATCCTGGAACTTCATGGCTTAAAACTTGCCCAAATATCTATCCTAAATATTCATTGGGATAATAAATACCATTTCTCTCTTCTTCTGTCATGTGATGATGCTAGGAAGATATTCATAGAATTTCATAATGGAACAATTATTTCATCAAACTATTTAAAAATAATGTTTTTAGCTTTTAAGATACAGACAATTAAACTAATGGGGAAAGGGAAAGAAATCCAGAAGGGTCAAATATTAGGCCTTCAGATTTGCATCTAACTAAAAGGAATTTTGACATGCAAATAGAAATCAAATTTCTTCCTTTTGCTCCTGTGGCATTAATTTCTTGATACTGTTTTCCTTTATTTGATATCATAATGTAACTAATGTTTGCTATGCAATTTGCTTTCATTTTAGCTTTGACTTTTTTCCCCACTGGGTTTCTAATTTCATTTCTATATGTAGATTGTTTTGCCACCAATTAGTGCTAGATGACATGAATGAAGGTTTCTTAAAACTGTTCTCATTTCTTTCTAAGCCACATGAATACATTAACTGCCAATTAGTCTGAATTCCACCCTCATATTCTAGTCCCTTATCTTATCTTTCCTACATAGAATAATGAATTACTTGTCAGATGGCCAAAATTTAAAAGAAAAGAAGCACCAATAATAAGAAAACTTACTAAACCTCAAAGTCATTTTTTTCTTTTAGTATCTGTTACATTATATAGCTTGCTCAACAATGTATTTTTTATCCTTGTTTAATTATTTTCTAATAATTCCACATATTGCAATGTTAATAGTAATCAGTTTATTCCCTAAATTAAAAAAAAAAATCTTGAAAATAGTAGTATCCCATTGATTTAAAGCAACAATTTATATTCCTCAGGCATATTTATCCTTGATTATCTGGGAAAAAGTACCACTAATAACAATCACTTTCTATAGTAGAATACTACTTGCTTTAAATGTGCTTTCACACATATTGTCGTATGGGAAATAATACAGTTCACACTGTATTGTCATCCCCATCTGCAGATGTAAACAGAGGTTTAGAAAATATGTAACAATCTCTGAGGACTCTCTTGACTTACAGTGTATACAAGAATTAGGCTTTAGCACACCAGAAAAAACAAAGACTAAAACTTATTAGGTTTTTTTTTTTAGAAAATTATTTGCATTAAGCATTTCCCAATATCAATTTTAAACTCCAGAGAGCAAGAATGATGTCTGTTCCATGAATAAGAGTAAGGCCTGAATGTGTATAGTGTATACTACATAAATATATTTTGACTGAACAAATTTCTAATTGCTGATCCAAATGTTTTGAGGATGTTACACTCACTGTTTCTGTTCCTCCAGCCTCATCTCCTAAAATATTCAAGACCAAGTGACTGCTAGCAAAGCCTCTTCCCTCCCACTCTGACATGATGCTCCCTCATACTGTTCTTTATGTTTTACTTTAGATCACTTGGTGAATAATTCTTGCTCACCTCTCTCTGTGTAACACTGTGCTTGGAAAATTTAAGATGTCAGCTTGCTAATTTTAGGAATATATTGAGGGATGTGGGAATGATCT